ACCGACCGTCCCGGCATTCCTATAGGCCTACCACGAAATTTTCTTAGAACCCCCAAATGCTCAATGTTCTTAAAACATCAACCCAATGTATGTAAACACGACAGTCCCAGCCAGACATGTTCTAAGAACATTTCGCGCAGACCACAAAAGGTTCTTAGAACATTCTTTGGTAAGCCTATAAGCGAGCCGGGACGCTTCGCCGCTGCTTGATGGTGGGGCCAGGAAACACACAAGACCCGGCGGTGCCCCCGTATCCCAAAACCTGGCGGTGACTTCTTGGGGCTTCCGGGTCTCCACCTGATGTCTCACCATCTGCTCTGGAGGCTCCCAGCCCAAACCCAGTCGTTCTGCTGCATAATCTGAGGCCGGATCGATCCGTGAGGGTCCCGGAGGCCCGAGCACGGCGTGACGCCCGGCGCGGAACAAGTGCGACGGGCCAGGCCTTGCCGCGTCGCCGCCGCGCCGACGCCACGCGAAGCGGCCGTGCAGTCGACACCGCGGGAGCGTTGGCCACGGGGAGTGCAGGGCACGTCGCCGAAGGCCCCAGGCCCCACGAAGGTGCCCAGCCGACGGGCGCTCCAAGGCAGAGAGCCCTAGCACTATGTTGTTCCCATCCTACTTCAGGGCCGCATCTCAGAAATAATTTCGAGCACCCAGAAAGGTGTCAAAAGAGTGTCGAAACAGTGTCGAAACAGTGTCGGGCGAGTGTCTCCCAGGGCCCGACACGTGAAAGCCCTTGAGCTTCGGTACTTTTTGGACGCTCGAAATTCTTCCTGGTGGTCACGGCTAAAGTAGGTTGGAGCATCATAACCCTAGCACGACGGACGCGAGGGCATCCCTCTGAAGCAAGGGTTGTTATTCTGCGGGTCCCACGAATATGCACCACCACCTCCATTCCCCTTTCCTCCTCCGCCCTCCTCTTCCCCTTCTCGTTCCTGGGAGGGGGAGGGGGACGGGGAGGTGGTGGTGGTGTACCACTGTGGGCTCCGTATCTTCAGCCTCGTGGCTGAGTGCGATTGATGAGGGCGGCAAGGAGACACGACCAGCCAGAGAAATATCGGAAATCTCTGGCTGCCAGCGGGTCTGGAGGATGTATCGGGCGCCACGGCCGTCCTAGAGCGGGCGGTCTGGGACGCTCTGGGATCATTCCAGGACGCTCTGGCACATTGTTTGTGCTGTCCAGTGCTTCGGAGGAGGCGGAGGCAGAGGCGAGAGGGAGACTGCACAAACGACTGACGAGAATCCAGGCTTGAATTGAGGAGTCGGCAGGCAAGCCTGCCGCAGGAAACGCTCTGGACGCTTTGGAACGAGTTGTCTTCTGCCTGGGCCTGCTGGGCATACGGTGGAGGCCGACCACAAGAACCTTCCACAAGAAACCCAACCCTGAGACCCCAGGACGTCCATTGATTTTTGGCGTGGGAACGTCACGCCTTCCGCCGCAAACCCATCGAAACCTAAGACGCCCAAGGGACCCTGGAGGCAAGCAGGGTGTTTCTTGACATGGGCCTCCACTGTGTCCCCATCCCTATCCCCCTGCGACCAGAAGCGTGCCGCCCTCGAGGAGGGGGGCATAGAAACCCCGCTTCCACTCGCGCTTCACCTCGACGTCGCGGCCGCTTCCGGCCGACGCCGGCGTCGCCACCGCCGCCGCTGTCGCCGAAACTGTTGTCGTCGTGGTCGTGGTCGTCGTGGTCGCCGTAGCCGTGCGTCGTCGCCAACGCCGTCGCCGCAACCGCCGTGCGTCGTCATCGTCGTCGTCGTCGTCGCAGCCGTCGTAGTCGTCGTCGTCGTCGTCGTCGTCGTCGTCGTCGTCGTCGCCGTCGTGGCCGTGGTCGTCGTGGTCGCCGTAGCCGTGCGTCGTCGCTGTGATCGCCGCCGTCGCCGTTGTCGTCGTCGTCGTCGTCGTCGCGCTTCGCCTCCAGGACCTCCGGCGTGGCGAAGCCGCCGTCCACCCAGGGCGCCAGCAGTCGGTCGCCCACGCGCACCTCGGACGCGAGGGCGGGCACGGTGCCGCCGCCGCCCTGCCTCTGTGTGAAGAGGAGGTGGTTCGCCGTCAGTTGGACCTGGCGCTCCTCCTCCTCCTCCTCCACCTCCTCCTCCTCCTCCTCGCTGGTGCTGCAGCTTCTCGCGGCTGCTTCGCCTCCGCCTTCTCGCTGCCGCTGCTGCTGCTGCTGCTCCTCCTCCTCCAAACCATAGTGCCCACGAATTGCCACGTGCGCGGTTGCTGATGTCGGTATTTCACGGGCCCCGCCCAGCGTGTACCAGTTTCTGACGGGTACTGGAGGTGGATAGTAGAGTTGCTCCTCGCACGTGTATCTTTGCTTCACCTCCTCCACCAACGGATCGATGAAGGCGCGCACATTTTCCCAGACAGACCTGCTTCTCCTCCCAGTCGAAGAACATGGGGCGAATGGATGCGACGGGGGAGAAGAGGAAGGGGGCAGGACTGGGATCAAGAAGGCGGGAATCCGTGCGGAATAGATTGCAATATATGCTTGGAACCGTCAGGTGCGTAAGCGTGTTTCAGAATGGCTTAGAAGTTCTGGGGGCTCCTCCTCCTCCTCCTCCTGCTCCTCCTCCTCCTCTTCCTCCCTCCCACCCTCTCTCCCCCATCTTCCCCCCCACCCCAACGTCAGGAGGAGGGGGGGGGAGAGCAAATGGAGAGAAGGGGGGGATGTTGGGCCTGGCCGAGCGAATGACGAATTTGAAGCGTCTCGCCCTCCACGTCTGGCTCGTGGTGGATGAACGCGATCACCTCGGCGCGCTTGATCATCCCAAGTCGAGTTTGACTCCTCTCAGCCCCGAAACTGGCCCCTGATGCCCAGACCCGTGGACCAAACAATCAAGTGTCGACGACGACGACGATAAATAAATACACGAAAACCCAAAAAATACCTTATCGGAGGTCAGCGCGGACTCATTGGGTCGGTGTTGTACCCCAAACATCCCTTCTTTGGTCGGACGAGAAGAAGGGATCGCAACTGGGGGGTGTCGAAGCAAATGCACGCAATTGGTCCCAACCATCCTGTGGTGTTGGGTCCTCGTTTTGAAGAGACGGTCCCCGCGTTCCTGTCCTCTTTTCCTCCTCCTCCCCCTCCTCCTCCCCACCGCCCGCATGCGTCCACCACACCAATCCCGGCACATCCCTCACACGTTTCGTGGCCCCATAGGGAGCTCCACCGAAGCCCCCAGTGGGACCGCCCGCATGCGTCCCCCACGCCTACTTTGGCGTTACCCACCCAGTACAGCGCGTCGTGGCCCCATAGGGAGCTCCACCGAAGCCCCCAGTGGGACCGTCCGCATGCGCCCCCCGCACCCGATTTGGCATTTTCACACACCCAATACAACGCATCGTGACCCCATAGGGAGCCCCCAATGGGACCGCCCGCATGCGTCCCACACGCCGAATTTGGTATTTTCACCCACCGGATGCAGCGTTTCGTGGCTCGATAGGGAGCCCCACCGAAGCCCACAGTGGGACCGCCCGCATGCGCCCCCCACGCCCAACTTGGCATTGCCACCCACCCAGCACAGAGCTTCGTGGCCCGATAGGGAGCTCCACCGAAGCCCCAAATAGGACCGCTCGCGTGCGTTCCCCACACCCACTTTGGCATTTTCACTCACCCAGAACAGCGCTTCGAGACCCCAAAGGGAGCTCCACTGAAACCCCCAATGGGACCGCCCGCGTGCGTCCCCCACGCCCAATTTGGTATTTTCACTCGCCCAGTACAGCGTTTCGTGGCCCCACAGGGAGCTCCACAGAAGCCTCCAGTGGGACCGCCCGCATGCGTCCTCCACACCCAATTTGGCATTTTCACCCACCCCGTACAGCGTACGTGGCCCAATAGGGAGCCCCACCGAAGCCCCCCCAGTGGGTCCGCCCGCATGCGTCCCCCACACCTAATTTGGCACTGTCACCCACCCAGCAAAGCGTTTCGTGGCCCCATAGGGAGCTCCTCCGAAGCCCCCAGTGGGACCGCCAGCGTGCGTCCCACACACTTAATTTGGCATTTTCACCCGCCCAGTAAAACGTTGCGTGGCCCCTGGGGGTGGGACCGCCCGCATGCGTCCCCCGCGCCCGATCTGGCATTGTCACCTACCCAGTACAGCGGTCCGTGGCCCCATAGGGAGCCCCAGCGAAGCCCCCAATGGGACCGCCCGCGTGCGTCCCCCACACCCAATTTGGCATTTTCACCTGCCCAGTGCAGCGCTTCGTGGCCCCATAGGGAGCTCCACCGAAGCCCCCAGTGGGACCGCCCGCATGCGTCCCCCACAGGGAGCTCCACCGAAGCCTCCAGTGGGACCGCCCGGATGTGTCCCTCACGCCCAATTTGGCATTTCCAGCGGTTCAATACAGCGCTTCGTGGCCCCATAGGGAGCCCCACCGAAGCCCCCAGTGAGGCCGCCCGCATGCGCCCCCCACACACAATTTGGCATTTTCGCCCGCCCTTTTACAACCCCTCTTGGCCCCATGGGGAGCTCCACCGAAGCCCCCAGTGGGACCGCCCAGATGCGCCCCACACGGTTAATTTGGTACTTTCCCCCACTCAGTGCAACGTTTCGTGGCCTCATAGGGAGCTTCGCCGACGGCCCCAACGCTACCGCCCGCATGCGTTCCCCCCCCACGCCCAGCGCAGCGCTTCGTGGCCCCATAGGGAGTTTCACAAAAGGAACTCTTCACAATTGCGGTGCCCACGGCTTCATATGGTTGGGTCCTTCGCCATGGTAATTTTGCCGCCTCCAGGGCGCAGCGGCGAGAACCGCAGTTTCGAGACTGGTCGCCCCCCATCAAGCCGCATTTTGAATGCCGCCGGCCTACCATGTATAAAGCGGGAGTTCTTTACCTGCATGACAGAAGAGTTCTAGGATGTCTCAAGTGAACTGCCAGGTCCAGCCAACGGACACGTATGGTGGCGCGGCAGGGAGGGGGGAGCTACTTCTCCACATCCTGAGTGGGGCTTTTGTGTTCTATGGGCACCTTCGCGCAGGTACGCAATAATAGGAACCGCCCCGGACCGCCATCACCAGCATCGTCAGGATCATCATCAACGCCATCATCATCGTCGAAATATTCGTCATCATCTTTATCATGGTCGCCCTCCTCATCATCATCGCCATCAGCATCATCGTCGTCCTCATCAGTACCACCATCATCACCCTCGTAAGCATCGTCATCATCACCGTCGTCATCATCACAATTGTAATCATATGCTTCCATGTTTGGGCTCCTCGGGCATCTGAAGGATGTATCGAGCAAAACCCTCGTCAGTGAGTGAATGAAGATGATGGTGGTGAATGGGGAAGCCGCAGCGATGACTTTCTCACGAAAGAAACCCAAACGCAACGTTGAGCACTTGATCTAGGTTCTGCCTGAAAAATCTCGACTCCCAACTCACAAGCCGCAGCCGACATCTCAGAACGTTGACGTTGGTTCTGCGAGATGTCGAAGGTGACCCAACCCGACTTCGCAATTACTCGTGGGACCGCAATCCAAAAATCAACGGGGAAGCCCCGTCGTCGTCACTGTTGAAGCATAGGATGTGGTACTCGGTGCAAATCGAGAACGAATGTCTGAAAACTTGGCCACGGCGCCCCGCCGTGAACAGGGCCGTCCCGTCTGCCGCCTTGTCGCCGTCGAAACAGCGCCAGCAATGAAGAGCCCAAGGAGCTTCTTGTTGGCGACGAAGAGCGTGTCTACAAACACCACGTTGCATGAATTGGTGGAGAAAAGTGAAGATGTCACGGGCATCTAGGCCTGTGCGATAGCCACACGCGCCAGGATGCATTTAGGAGTCTGGTTGGCAAACTGAACTGCCGAGTCGTTGAGCGCTTGGTGGAATACATACTCCGAGAGAAGAAAACGAAAACCTCGCCGCATAGGGCCCCGAACCCGCAGAAACCAAACAACAACATGGATCATCATGCCCAGGCCCAGTGCCAGCAATCATGCCCAGACCTCCGGTTCAAGCGGAGGCCCACAATCATGCCCAGGCACGCAGGCCAGCAATCAAGTGTGATGCCATAAGAGTGGTCCTAGGGCCCAGGGACCGCTGCGAACCGTGAGGTCGGCATTGAGTTCCCGCTCTCGTGCTTTGTGGAGCGGAAGGGCCCCGATTCTGGATACCACTTTCCGTAAAATAATTGTGTCGACGCTGCGGTTTGGCTAGCACCCGCAGCCATGGCCGTCCGGAGTGGCGTTGGAGACTAAGGCGCTGGCGCGCCCCTCCGCTGCCCCCAGTTTGCGCCGGACGCCGCCCGCCCCGTTGCCAGGGGTGGCCCTGAGTGAAGAAAGAGAAACTCCAAAGCGGTAGCCTTTCCATATGGGGTTCCCAGTTCCATGTTGGAATCCGCACGGGGCCATCCAAACCCTGTAGCTGTCGTCGAAGTTGGGCTCCTGGGGCTTGAATCTGGAGGATGTCTCGAACGGGAGTCTCGTCCTTAAACGAATGGCGATGAAGTCTTGAACGGGACCCCCCGTGGGGTCCGCACCACTTCCACATTGGAATCCGAACGGGGCGATCCGAACCATGTAATCGTCGTCACCATCGGGCTCCACGGGCTTGACTGTGGAGGACGTCTCGAATGAGATCCCCCTCTGTGGGTGAATAGCGGGGAAATCTTGAACGGGAGCCCTTCCCCATGGGTTCCCCGCCTCCATGTTGGAACCCGCACGGGGCCATCCGAACCCTGCATGTGTTGTCATTATTGGGTTCCTCGGGGTTGGATGTGGAGGACGTCTCGAATATGTAAGCGCTTCGTCAATGGGTGAATAGCTAAGAGATCTCGAACAGGAATCCTTCACTATGGGGCCCCCACCTCCCATGTTGGGATCCGAGCGGGGTCATTCAAATCGTGTCCGTGTCTTCGCTCTTGGGATCTTTGAGTTTGCTGAATGACTTCTAGGGCGAAAGCCCTATCTTTAAGGGATACCCACCTCCATGTTGGAATCCGAACGGGGCCATCCGAATCCATTAACCGTCGTCACTTCTGGGTTGCTCGGGTTTGGATGTTGGAAGCCGTCTCGAGCGGGAACCTCGTCAATGAGTGAAACGCGAGGAAATCTCGAGCAGGAGTCCTTTCCTACGGGGTCCCCAGCTCCATGCTGGAATCCGAGCGGCATCATCAAAATCCGGTCACTGTCGCTACTGATGAGCAGATCTCGAGCGGAAGTCCTTCCCTATGGGGTCCACATTTCAATGTTGGAATCCGAGAAGGGCCATCCAAATCCTGCAACCGTCTTCGCTTCGGGCCCAGTCCGGCCTGACTCTGGAGGAAGTCTCCAGCGGGAGCCTCGGCTGTGACTGAATTGCGAAGGGCCCCCCCCCTTCCTCTCGTGGGCCCCCCACCGCCTCCACGATCGAATCCGAGCGGGGTAATGCGTGGGTCTCCCCATTCCTGAATCTCGAAGGAGTCTCGATCGGGAGCCTCGTCGTGTCAGATACCACCAGCGACGGGCTCGCCACCGCAGGCGAGGAGTTTGCTCATGTTCAGGCCCAGCGAACATAAGTTCACGTAGCCAGAGCTCGGGGCCGCACGTCGAGCGCCGCTGGGGGTTAGCCCATGACGCGCGCGTCCTACCTCACCTGCGCGCTGTCGCACGGTCAGACGCTGTGCAACGGCGTCACCATCGCCTTCGCCAGGGACGGGGACGCTGGCCGCACGGGCGTGCTCTCCTGCGCGCGCATGCGCACGGGGACGCTGCCCGTCTGACAAGCAGTGGTGGCTGCACCTCTACGTCATGTTCTCCCGCGCCACGCGCATGCGGAACATGCTGATCCTCCGGCCACCCTCGCGCGAACTTCCGGAGTGTGGGCCGCAGGCGTCCTTGCGGAAGGCGCTCGGCGAGTTTGACAGGAGAGCAGAGAGCTCCAAAGCCGAGGCGGAGCAGCTCGCGTCAGAGTCGGGTTCCGCGCTGCCTCCCGGCTGACCGCGGGGCCCCGCTCGAGGCCCGTGGGGTTGTCCCAACGGCTTGCCTTCGCGCCCCAGCGGCTCGTGGGAATGCCCCAACGGCTTCGCGATCCGGCCATCGGAAAGCGTCCCTGCCGGCCGTGGCGGCGGCGGAGCCAAGGAAAATCAACTGGAACGCCCTTGCTGGAGGGGCAGGGGAGGAGGTGGACGGGGGAGAAGAGGCAGGAGGACGAGGAGGAGTACGAAAAGGAGGAGGAAAAGGAGGAGGAGGGTGAGGAGGATGAGGAGGAAAAGGAGGAGGAGGATGAGGAGGAGAAGGAGCAGGAGGAGGAGGAGGACTAGGAGGAGAATGAGGAGGAGGAGGAAGAGGCAGAGCAGGGGGCGGGAAGAGGGCCTCCGCCAGGACGAAAAAAAAACAAGGGCGAGGAGGAAACAGGAAGAGAGCCCCTGCATTCCCGGGGGACGATGATGCGGCTCCCCTCCCAATCAATTCTTTGGAGATTCTCCCGCGGGGCCCCACCGTCGGAGCAATCTTCGCAGGAGGAGGGATGGGTGGGGGCAGCGCCGGCAAACCCGACGCCCACAACTTGAAGACTTCAAGGAGGAGGACGAAGACAGACCCGCTCAAAATTAGGTCCCCGAAGCCCTTCCGGAGCCCAGCCTGGCCAGCTCCGAAAGCCGCGCACTGGGGCAGACGGGAAAATCCTGGGGACCGCACCGAGCACCTCCAGGAATGATGGGCAGGTTTTCCACCACCACTACCATATGTAGGACGGGGGAGAAGGGAGGATGAGAAGGTCCTCCTCCTCCTCCTCCTCCTCCTCCTCCTCCCTCTCCTACCTATGGTAGTGGTGTTGGAAAATGGGCCCGTCAAGAACCATCGGGATCCTCGATCCTCCGACCTCGGTTCGGCGACTCCGAAGGGTGTGGTTTGCAAAGGGTGTGGTCTGCAACCGGCACTCCAAGGGGCACCCTGAGGGGCGGGCGGGGCCTTCGACGGCGCTCTCCGCCGCGCCCCGAGGCGGCCCGACGAGGACCGCGTCCTGCCTCCCGGGCCCCCCCAGGGGCGCCGATCGCAAACCACACCCTGGCGTAACCACACCCTTTGTGGTCGCCGATCGGCCCTCGACGACGACGAGGCAAGATCACCGGGTCGTAGCACAGCGAAGGGCTCGCGCTGGTGCCCTCCCAACCTCGAACTGCGAGGACCACGTCGCCGACCCGGAGCTCCGCCAGCGGCACGCGCCCGCGGTTCTTGGCCACGACCACGCTGTCGCCCGGGAAGCAGAAGAGCTCAAACTCCTCACGAAGACGACGAAAGCGGCGACGACGCCAATGGCGGCAGCGCGACGCTGGCGGCGGCGACGACGACCGACGACCGACGACGACCGACGCTGTCGCTTGGGAAGCAGAAGAGTTCAAACTCCTCTCGTCGTCGTCGCCGGCGGAGAAGGTGGTGATGATCACGGTGATGCTGAGGAGGATGAGGAGTAGGAGGGTGCGACGTCGATCGACGCTGCCGACAGGAAAGCAGTTGAGCTCAAACACATCTCTTTGTCATCGCCGCCGTTTTAGGGAGATCATGATGACAAGGGGAAGAAGCAAGAAGACGACGACCACAACTGCGCTGTCGTCGGGAAGTAGGACAAGCATAAACTCCTCTTGTTTTCGTTTCATGGGGATTCTGATGGTTAGGACGCGCAGGCGGAGGCGGAGGAGGACGACCACGACCAACGCCGTCGCTGAGAGAGCAGGAAGAGCTCAAACTCCTGTCGTCGTCGTCGGGATGATGATACTGATGGTACTGATGCTGATGACGATGATCATGATGCTGTTGTTGATGATTGCGACGACGACCACGCTGGTGATGCTGGTGATGCTAATGATGGTGGTGATCAGGATGATGATGATGATGATGATGATGATGATGATGATGATGATGATGATGATGCTGAACATGCAGTTGATGATGGCGACGATGCTGATGCTGCTGATGATGATGATGATGATGGTGGTGATCATGATCATGATGATGATGATGCTGATGATTATGATGATGATGCTGAGCATGCAGCTGATGGTGGGTGGTGATGATGGTGAGCCTGCTGATGCTGATGATGATGCTGCTGATGATGATGACAGTGGTGGTGATGATGATGATGATGCTGATGATGATGATGATGATGACGATTATGATAATAGCGATGCTGATGATGGTGATGATGCACATGCTGATGCTGATTATGATGGTGATGGTGGTGCTGACGATGACGATTGATTGGTTGTAATGAGGATGTTTGTGTTTATTACGGTGATGATGGTAATAATGATGATGATGATGCTGACCTTGATGCTGATGCTGCTGATGATGCTGGTTATGCTGATGACGCTCATGATGATGATGATGATGATGATGATGCTGATGATGATGATGATGATGATGATGCTGATGATGATGATGCTGATGCTGATGCTGATGCTGATGATGATGATGATGATGATGATGACGATGACGATGATGATGCTGATGATGTTGATGAGGTTAATGCTGCTGAAGATGATGATGAGGATGATCGAAAATGGAGGAGTAGGAGGAGGAGGAGGAGGAGGAGGAGGAGGAGGAGGAGGAGGAGGAGGAGGAAACGAAGAAGAAAGAACAGCAGCGGAAGAGCTCGAATTCGAGGCTCGAGGATCGAAGAGCCCCCCTGCAGGAACCTCCAGAACCTCCGCGGAAGCCCGCCCTGGGCAGGGGATGGGCGCGGACGGCCTCCCGGCCGGAGCGCCCGCAGAGGCCAAAATCATGAACTTGACTTCGGTTTTTGAAGGATTTTGGCATTTGCTTCTTGTCGGCCTGCCGACGGCCCGAGACGGCATAAAGAGCCCCCCACGATCGCCCAACAAGCCTCCAGGATGGCACCGATCCGAGGCCCAGGACCAGTGCAGATGTCGGCGGTGAGCGCGGGGGGGGAGTGAGAAGGGGAGGGGCCTTCTCAGAAGACTTGGCAGTCCCCCGGCCTTCTGAGAAGTTCTCTATTAGCCTTCCCCGAAGACACGCAGGAACATCTTGTCAGGAGGTGCGAGGGCTTCTGAGAGGTCCCGCCGCCTTCTGATGCAGGCCTTCCCCGTCTCACCTCCCCCCCTCGCTCGCCGCCGAAGAGGACCGCGCGGGCCTCGCTTCTCGACAGCGGCGATGCTCGCAGGGGCGCTCGAGCGGGGCGCCCGAGGGGACTCGGGGCCCCCCTGGGGGCCTCCGCTCTGGCCGAAGTCGGCGCGCTGCCCCCCGACACGCCGACCGCGGCAGCCCCAAGCTGCTCTGCCTCCGCCAGTACTATTCGACCGGCGCCCGTGCGCACAGCTGGCGCCCTCTGGCTGTCGCATCGTTCCTCCTCCTCCTCCTCCTCCTCCTCCTCCTCCTCCTCCTCCTCCTCCTCTCCTCCATCTCCTCCTCCTCGTCGTCGTCGTCGTCGTCCTCCTCCCCTCCTCCTCCCTCCCTCCTCTCCTCCTCCTCTCCTCCTCTTCCTCCTCCTCCTCCTCCTCCTCCTCCTCCTCCTCCTCTTCCTCCTCCCCCCCTGGGCACGCTCCACCTCCTCCTCCTGCCCCAGTCCTTGCTAGAGGACTGACCTTTTCTGCAGGACTGCGGTGGGTTCGGGAGAGATGGATTGAGCTGGGGTGGGCTCTTCCTCTCATCCCCCCTCCCTCCCTCCCTCCCTCCCAGTCCTGCGGGATCGGGTTGGGCTGGGTTGGTGGGGCCTGGGCATCTGCTCCTCTTTCTCCCTCCTCCTTTCCGTCTCTTCTGCCTCTGCACGGCCCGGCGTCCACTCCTGCATCGGCTCCCCGTGCGACCCGGGGTGCCTCCCGCCTTTGGGGAGCGCGGTCGAGAGGGCGCTTTGGAGATGTCTCGCCTGGGCCTCTCTGCCGCCCCTGCTTCTCCACCCCTCTATCCGCAGCCACGTTGTCCCGAGCTGCAGCGCCTTTCCATCTCCGCATCCCTCCTCACAGCAATTACAAGGCCAACCAACAGCATGGGGTCCGATGGTCCCGAGCCCGAGGCCACCCAGAAGGTCTTGGATTTCTGGATGCAGGAGCGTCCATCTCTCCGGCTCAGCCTCCGCGCGGCGTCGCGCACGGAGGAGAAGAACCAGGCGGGAGGAGGTCCTTGTGCGGCGACTATCTTCAAACGCGCCGTGCGTCACCAGTGGTCGCTGATGTCGGTGGCAGACAAGCGGGCGTGGACCGCTGCAGCAGCCACTGGAGGCCCCGCCCCAGGGCAGCCCAAGCTCTGGCAGGACGTGGAACAGGCGTCCGCTGGGCACCAAGGGCAAGGGGCTGACACGCCACTGCCGGCTTCGACACCGTCTCAGGGTGACTCCGAGGCCGGGGGCGGCAATGGACTAGCGGTGGCCGGCACCTGCTTCGGCTGCAGGGCCACGGGCTGCGAGCTTGCTCTTGGCCAGGGAGCGCACGCTCAGGAGGCCTACTGCCGCACCTGCTGGGACCAGTTGGAGGCGACAAAGACAAGCGCAGCACGCAGCGAGGAGACGAAGGCCGAGGTACCGGACGATAGCGTGGGCGAGGCCCCGTGGAAAAAGCTGCGGCTCCTCTTGGCCTCGCCTAGCCACGGCGCGGCTGCGGTGCCACAGCCTATTCAGTGGGGCGCCCCAGAGGCCGTCAAGCAGGGCTCATGGGGCGTAGGAGGCGGCGCAGCCTTGGCGCCTTCGACTATGGAGTGGAACGCCCAGGGTGGCTGCCATGCAGGGGCGTGGGAAGCGCTTCGCTACGGCGCAGCACCGACACCGCAGGCACCAGCCTGGAGCGCAGAGCCCTCTGGCTGGATGGGCTGCCAGTCGGCAGCGGCGTCCTGGGCGGTCCAGCCCGGAAACGCCCAGCAGGCCCTTCTGGGCAGCGGTCTCCAGCTCTGGGGCCCCGGGCAGGCGCCGGCGGGAGCTACCGTGCCCCCAGGCTTTGGCAGTGCGGGCGAGGGCGCCCAGCAGGGAGTGCTCCAGGCGGTAGAAGCGGACGTGGTGGACCCTTTGTTCCCGGAGTACAGGCGGCTCCAAGAGCATGGAAGCTCGGGGGCAGGGCGGGAGCAGTCCAGCCAGGGGGAGAGAAGAGGTACGACAGGTTCTTGCGCCTGATGCCTCATGGCAGCTTGCCGTCCGACAGGACCATCCTTTACTGGGCCTCGACTGTCCCAGCCGGCAACCCCCTGCTCAGGCGCGGGGCCGAGTGGCACTACCTGCCCAAAGAGAAGGGCAAGGGCACCCAAAGCACCAAGAACAAGAAAGCGCCAATTGGACTCGTGTTCCAGTTCGGGAAGAAGCATGGCGCGGTCCACATCTGGATGCGCAAATCGGGGAAAATCCACATCGCTGCTGCCACAGCGGTGCGCGAGAACATCCTGTCCAAGATGCTCACTTGGACGGCCCCGTACAACAACGGCGTGCCCCCGGCGGGCCCGACGGATGAGCCCTTGCCGCCGCTGCCGCCCGCGGCCTGGACGCCGCCTTAGCGAGTGAGCATGTGCACAGAACTGCGCCGCCAGTCCCCTCTCCTCCGCCTCATCCTGCCTTCCGTTGCAAGCCCCCCCCGCGCTAGTGCAGTCCTAGTCGTGTCGTGCGCCCGGCGTGGTGCCCAGACGCGGCAATGCGCGAGGCTCTTGGGATGTCTTCTCTTGGTGTTTAGTACACGGAGGATTTTGTATGAGTTTCGTACCGGATGTACGATTCTTCCTCCTCCCTCTTCGCCTCACGTCCTCCCTGTCGCCCCTTCGTGCATAGAGCTACTTCGCTTTGGAGTTGTAGCCGGATTTTCATTGACACTTTATAGAATTTTGCAGTGGGCTTTGTATAGGTTCATGCGTGGAGTTTTCATGAATTCTGCACTCGAGTTGCAAAAATATCTGTGCATACTCCCCTCCCTCCCTCTCCCCCTCCCCCCTCCTGCTCAGTCTCTGCCGGGCTGCAGCGGGCTGGGGCGGTCTGGGACGTGCTGGGGTGGGTCTCCCCCCTCCTCCCCCCCTCTCTCCTCCTCCCTCCCTCCCTCCTGGTCCTCGCTGGGGTGGGATGGGCTGGGGTGGTTCCGTGCCGCCGCCTTCGCCGTCTGCGCTGCCGTCGTCGTCGCTTTTGCCGCTGTGCTGTCTTGTCGCCGTTGCTTTGGCTGTCCTTGCCGCCGCCGCCGCCGCCGTGGTCGTCGTCGTTGGCGCTGGCGCCGTTCCTGCTCCCGCTCTCGTCGTCGTCGTCGTCGTCGTCGTCGTCGTGGTCGTCGTCGTCGTGGTCGTCGTCGTCGTCTTCGTCGGCGCTTCG